TCTACGCGCCTCGCTCTATGACTCCATACGTCTCTCTCCCTTCTGTTTCTACGCGCCTCGCTCTACGACCCCATACGTCTCTCTCCCTTCTGTTTCTACGCGCCTCGCTCTATGACCCCATACGTCTCTCTCCCTTCTGTTTCTACGCGCCTCGCTCTATGACTATGTAGCACTTGTGGTCGGATAAATAAAAGTTCAGAGTGTTTAGGATTATCCTTATTTTTAATTGTGGTTTGCACTGAAACACAAGAGAGACGACATCACCACGCATTCCTTGTCTGAGCACACTTTTCAATTAGTTATACCACATAGAACGTTTTTTAGCTTTTGTATTCTGTTACAAATGAAATAAAAATATATTTAAACAGTCCTTGTTACCTGAAACACAAGAGAGACGACATCACCACGCATTCCTCGTCTGAGCACACTTTTCAATTAGGACCTCCCAAGCCCCCCCCCCCAAGCTGTCTCAACCTGCCTGCGTGGGTCACCTGAGTTTCTCCTGTCTAAAAATATGCTAATGTCCTTGTTATTACACATGAAAATTAAACAAAAAATAGGAGGTGGGTGTTATTACAGCGTTATTGTTATACGTGTTAATTATCATGAGTCCCACACACTCCCCTGCAAAATAAATGGCGTCCCGACCAGGGCTGGACTGGGACAAAAAAACGGCCCGGGAATTTTTTCCTTCTTAGCGGCCCAGGCAACTCAAAAGGTTCAAGGAGCCATATTTGACAAAAAAACTAAAAACAACATCTGTCTGGAGCCGCAAAAAAAACAGCGTTGTATAAGGCTTATATGAAGGTAACAGGGGCTGAAGCTGTATTAGCTACATTAGCCTAATATCTAAATGACAAAGTAAAGGCTACAAACACATAAAAACCATTCATGATTATCAAATGTGTATTTTCACTGCAGCGTGTCCTGGAGAGAATGACACACCACGTGACGACTCTGCTTTAAGTTTAACCTTCATGCAATTGTACAAATACAGTAAATAAATCTGCTTTTTGGCTCCGAGTTCACCTGCATCACTGTCTGTTCATATCCATCACATCACAGGCTGAAGTTTGCTGGAGCTGAATGTCCTTAATGGCCTTTTCTTTCACTGTCTTTGCGAAGGTATTTGAAGTCTGAAAATAGGTGCTCTGACTTTATGATGAATGAATCTTTCAGTGAACAGTGTTTAAAGCTTCATTGTTCCTCGTGTTGCAACAAAACTTTTCATTACATCTCAAACATAAAGCAGTCCTTCCTCATTGACTGAAAGCAAATGTTCATTCTCATTCTTACTCCAGTCTTATCGACTCTTCCTTTCTTTATCTTTGGGATCCGTGCTCACACGCCGGTTTGTTCAAAACAGCGGCCGCCTAGCGCGGGCCGCGTCACAGGATATGACGCACTACGTTGACAGAAATGCTAAAATTGAATATTACTTATACAAGTTTTTGCAGCATTGAAAAACTTTAAGAATGTTTTTCCTCCTACAGAAACCACATTCAAACTAGAAATAAAATATAGCCCTCCCACTCCATTTTCAGACATTTTTTAAAAGGCTCCAGGAGCCACTTTAGGGGCACTAAAGGTTGCCGACCCCTGGAGTATACAGTATGTGGAAGCAAATACTGTAGAGGATCAGGATGTCTGCAGTTTCAACAATAAAATAAAGTACAATAGTCTACATTAAACAGAGTAATAAACATGTCCCAGAGTGAGGGAGGTGGGCACAGACAATACTATTGTTTGTTACAGGGATGAGAATTGGTCAAAAACGTCTGAAATGCATATTGTCAGCCATTTGCTGGCTCTAAATCTGTTTAATCTGTTCACAACATTTTACTTTTGGGCTCAAACATGAACTTTTAATGCGATGGGAAATTTAGGTACCCGAGCTTTAATTTAGAGGAGAGGGGAGACGCGAAATGTTTTCTGCAGCGGTGTATTTATTGGGTGCACAAATTACGAAAAGACACGCATGGTCCTGTGCGCGTTTATGGTCTTGGGTACATGGGCACGTTGCGGCTACGCGCTCACCGTGTTGTGTTGTGAGCGGTTCCTGCGTCCAGCTCAGAGCCGCTGGATGCGGGAACACTGCGGCCGCTGAGGTGGTGGAATCCCGTTCCAGTACATACAGCAGGTGCCCCGCGGACACGCGCGCCCCCTCGAACAGTTCTCAACGGATTTACACTTTTCACAAACATGTTTTTTGTATGAGGCAGACAGACCGGCCCAAATATGGGCATCGGCCCTTCTGGCATTGCCCGGTACGCCCGATGGCCAGTCCAGCCCTGGTCCCGACATTACATAGTCTAGTTACAAGTATTGAACTCCAGAGTTGAAGCCATCAGAGTGGGAGTCAGTTCACGTTGAAAAGGTACCACATGTCCATTGACAGTTCTTTACACGGCATATCTCCCTCTTCAACCATGTATACAGCCAGACACCACAGGCCAAGTGATATCTAATAAATGCTCTGCTTTACAGGCCAGTACCTCCACTGAAAGATGATTCTTATACTCCTGGCTATGACTCATTGTACAAGCTGATAAGCTATTACCTAAAATATGCTCATATGTATTTTGCAACTGTGTTTTGTCCTAAAAGGTTCAAATGTGTGCATATGTGTGTGGTCTCTGTGCATACAGCGAAACTAATGAATACTAACTAGAACAAGTTAACAAAACAACTAACCAAAAACATGCTTTGAAGCCTACATTTACGTAAGAGAAGGCTGACCTAATGTGTTATAGGTAGTGCTGTCCAACGATTAAAATATTTAATCGCGATTAATCGCATGGATTTCATAGTTAACTCGCGATTAATCGCAAATTAGTCACACATTTGCGTGCTGTGTGCAATTGCTTTTTTTTATTGAAAACAATGTGTAGTGTTATATTACACACTAACATTTGATGCAAAATCATCAATAAATGGATGACAAAATAAATAATTGGTAACAAAAAGCCCCTTCAATGTGTGTGTGTGGGTGTGTGTGTGTATGTGTGGGTATAGACCATAGACCAGGGGTGCCCAAAGTGGGGCCCGCGGGCCAAAGTTGGCCCGCCAGACCATTTCAGTTGGCCCGCCAAACATTGCCCACCTCCGCTATAAGTTTCTATCTGCGTCCCTCAGCCTCGCTGAATTAAGCGACATATTTCAGGTCGCGCGGGCGCATAGTCGCCCTCTGAATTCTGACTGTCCAGTACTTAACTGTTGTATCGAGATACACTCCTCACTCATGGTTCACATCAACTTGCACTAAAATGTTTTTTAAAATCAAACACATCTTTCAAAACAATTGGGTGCAAGGCCCCTTTATGTTATTTTTTTTCAGCCTACTATTATTATTTTTTGGAGCTATTTAATGTTTTATCAAATTGAGAGGATTGTGCTGGCGAACTGCCACTCCCCCTCCTCACCGGAGGGAAATGGCGAGTGGAACTATTCACCTGCGCAATCCGCACCCACCCGGTGTGTTAAAAAGGACGGACACAAACACTTCAGAGTGAGTTCAAGCAGGACAAGCAGGGATCGCAGCGCACAATCCACGTAAGTAGAAGCAACAAATACTGTGCAAGACAAACCCTTCTACAACCCCATGAAAGAAGCCGGTAAGCGCCGTCCTCACTCGCGATCAGTGAATGTCAGAACTTACGCGGAGTTTTATGATGCGTTCAAGAGCCCTTTGGAGGAGCGGAAACTCGGACTCTTTAACGGTTACTTTGTTTTGATTGTTTATAAATGTTGTACTGTGTTTAGCCATAACAAAACAAAACTCCAGGAACAAATCATGGTTAACTAGTCTGATTTCGTTAGTTTAATATTCAGTTCACTACTAATTGAGAATACTTGTCCTATGTTAAAACAGAGTTAAAACCTGATCATGTTTAGAAAATGCAGTTAGCAATTATGTTCCCAAATTCATTACTTAATGGTAAAATGTATTGTTTAAAAGTGTGCTAAAACCAGATCTATTGATCAGTGATGTCTCCCCTTTTTGATAAAAGCTAAGATAAAGTAATATGATTCAAATGTAGTTAAAAACTTTTGTTCAAAATAAATATATGAAAATAGACTTGGAAATTGCTTTGGCTCAGTGCAACAGAGATAATAAAAATAAAGAATAAAAAACACTTCTAAGGAATAAATTTAAATTTAAAATAGAGTTACAGTTACTATTTACAATATACAAGTGCACATGGTGCACACAAAATGTATGTTTCTGTTCTCTTTTTGAGGTTTTATTATATGATTTTAACCTTTAAATCTCCCTCCTCTGGACCCTGATTACCCGGCCGGAATCTTTCCGTACTGTAGTCTCCTCAAACCTGCATATTTCCCTGGAGCCTCCACTTCACTAAGACTGTGTTGATTTCATTCATTCAGCTGTGATTTGCACTGATAGACAATAATTAATGCATTTAAAAGAACTTGATCAAATCTACATTTATTTGTGTTTCATGCATAATATTGGTGTATTTGGCCCGCGGCCCACTGGCAAATTTTTACTTTGGCCCTTGGAAGCAAAAGGTTTGGGCACCCCTGCCATAGACTGTATAGATGGTGTCATTATGATGATGATTAACAATCTGTAAATATTTTGTAAATTTGTTCATGTAAATACTCTATGCTGTTTCTCTGTTTACCTTCGGTATATCTATGACTGTATACTGTTTGCTTGTATTGCCTTTTTTATTAACCCCTCCCCCCATCTCCCACTTCATGTCCCCCCCCTCCCCTCCTATGTGCCCTTCTGGGTTTCTTCTTTGGCCCCCTGTATCTCCAACTACATATTGTTTGTAATCTCTGTCTACAATGTATCTGAACTAGTCCTTTTCTTTGTTTCTATTTTTTTTCTGTATATGTGTTTGTCTGCAATAAAAAGTAAAAAAAAAAAAAAAATTCTTTTTTTTAAATTTTTTTTTATTTTTTATCGCGCGATAAAAAAAATGACGGCGTTAATATTGATTTGCGTTAACGCGCTATTTTGGACAGCCCTAGTTATAGGTAAAGGTCTTAGGTGGTTTTCTGAATCGAGAAGGATACTGTCTCAGGGTGGCTGGTTCATCTGCTTCATCAGAGGAGGCTGCTGGGCACTCGTCCACCACACGACCGTCCCCCGGCTCATCCTGCTCCATCGCCGCCTGCTCGACTCCTCTGACGTCATCGCTGCTCAGCTGACCTTCGGGTGCCCTTCCAGAGTGATGTTACTCCTTGATGCTTGTGTCTCGATGTCTAGGGGTTTGTTGTGGATGGAACTCCTCTGCATTTGTTCTCCGTCGAGGTTTTGCTGGAGCGGAACTTTCTATTGGCTCTGAGATGATGACTTGCCACTCAGCTTCACTGTCAGAGTCCTCTGTGTCTGAGGTTTTGTCCTCAGCTCTTCTCACACTTATCTTTCTCTGTACAGGTTTTGGTTTTTGTAACATGTCCTCTATGGGCAGATAGTCGCAAGGCAGCAGTAGGTTTCTGTGAATGACACGTGTCTTGCCTGGGCCTCTTTCCGGTTTAATCACATAAACAGGCGTGTCAGACTTCTTTTCAACTACAACGTGAACCTTTTCCTCCCAGTAAGACCTGAGTTTTCCTGGGCCGCCTTGTTGAGAAAGGTTGCGGACCAGAACCCTGCTACCAAGTTGTAGCTCTGCACCATAAGCTTTCCTGTCGTAATAGTTCTTTGCTCTGGCCTGCCCTTTACTGTCACTTTTGGATGCTATTCTGTAAGCTTCTAACATCCGCTTACGCCACTTGTCAGCATATTCACTATGGGACGTGCTTTCTTCTTCGTCACCACCAGGGGTCAGACCAAACATAATGTCAATGGGCAACTTTGGGCTCCTACCAAAAAGGAGATAATGTGGGGAAAACCCAGTTGCTTTCGTGGCGCGTACAATTGTATGCGTGCACAACTTTGTCCAATATGTCCGTCCAGGCAGAAGAAGCGGCTCAGATTAGAATTAGCTGCTACGCAACTGTATTAATTTCAAGGCACCTCATTCCCGTTTTTAATGCACTTCCTAATACTCCCATTCCAAACGAGAAGACTTGGTTAGAGAGAAATTGTTAGTCCGATCGGCAACTTCGCCTGGTTTTGATTTTATACTCTTAGCAGCCACTACCATTGTTGTCTTCCTTGTCATACTACACCCTGTCGCTCGCCTCCTCAACGTACGCGGTAAAAGGTATAATAAAACACACAGTACATAGAACCACCTAGAGAGCATGTGCACACACAAACACACAAACCCACACACACACACACGCTCTATTTTCTTTTCCTATTTTTGAACTTTTGATTCTCTGATCAGATCCAATTTTGTAAAGTTCCTCGGAGACAAATGCTGTTGTGATTTAGGGCACTACAAAAATAAATGGAAAGAATTGGATTGTGAGTTCGACGTAGAGGCTGAGCGCTGCTGCAGCTGTCAAAAGCCGAAACGTACCACTGTAAATTATAGCTGCAGCAAGTCTGGGAGTGTTTAGAAGATGGACAGACTGTAATACAGTGTTTAAAACAAAAAAAATGATATTTGAAATGACCTTTATTTAACCGGGGAACTGTCCCAGCTGAGAGTCCGGGCGCCCCACATTTGATGATACACGTGTATGATTAAAACACCATGTGCAGATGTTCTCGCAGGACTGGAGTGAATGACGAGCGCTTGGCTTGGTTCTCTAGAGCTTGAGAAACACGCAGGTAATCCAAGCCTGTCAGCCTGCACAATAGCACAGCCAGGAAAATTACAGTGATACACTTTAAAAAGTGGCCATAAAAGACTCCGGACTGATTTACAGTGATGAAACAGATATGGTCACATTCAGTCGCCTGCTCAGAGCGTTTGAAAAAGCAGCTTGTTTTATGATTCTTGACAACGCAGCAGAACACCTTACACACACTCGGGGTCAAATCCCTCCGATTGTGTTGTTATTTGCGGCAGTGTGAATGTAATTCGATCAATTACTCCTCCGCGACGGCGTAAGTGATCTCTGCGTGCAGCAGCTGCAGAGTTCAGAGCGTGTTCTATTATTGCTTCATAGGTGTCCCTCCAGATACACTTGACTATATTCAATTAATTTCAATCCTACTAAAACTAAGCGGACGATAGTGCAGACTCTCATGTTAAAATTCATCACAGTTGACTCTGAAGGTAAAGGTCTTTCTCTGCTTTCCCATATGCGCACCCCTGATTTTAAAAAATATCAAACTGCATTATGATTTAAATATAAATACAATAAAATATTTAGTATTTCCCTTTCCGTATTACTAGTACGTTACGTTTTATTTATATACCCGCCTTTTCACTGAGATTGAGTCTCAAAGCGGTTTTACAATTGTTAATTTTGGGCATTCGTCTTCTCACTCCACACAGAGATGAGGACGGGGCCAGACAGGAGGCACATGCCAGAAACTATTGTACATTTAAATAGTGGTAGGGGTAACCGGGAGGTACCCGGACGGAAACCTACGCAGGACACGGGGGAGAACAATTTTATTATTGTTATTATTTATTGTTTTTAACATTTTTATAATTATTGTAATTATTGTTATTATTATGATCATTATTAATATTTTCACAATCACTTTTGGGGAGTCCTTCAGTCCATGCTTTTTTTTTTATTTGCATGCTTTTATTTTTATAGACATAAAAATATATATTAAATAGATATGACCGAGAGTAGGGGCAAACTACACATGTTATTACATTACACATGTTATTACATTACACATGTTATTACATTACACATGTTATTACATTACACACATGTTGTTTACATTACACACATGTTATTACATTACACACATGTTATTACATTACACACATGTTATTACATTACACACATGTTATTAGCATTACACACATGTTATTACATTACACATTACATCACACATGTTATTACATTACACATGTTATTACATACACATGTTATTACATTACACATGTTATTACATTACACACATGTTATTACATTACACACATGTTATTACATTACACATGTTATTACATTACACATGTTATTACATTACACACATGTTATTACATTACACACATGTTATTACATTACACATGTTATTACATTACACACATGTTATTACATTACACATGTTATTACATTACACACATGTTATTACATTCACACATGTTATTACATTACACATGTTATTACATTACACACATGTTATTACATTACACATGTTATTACATTACACACATGTTATTACATTACACATGTTATTACATTACACACATGTTATTACATTACACACATGTTATTACATTACACACATGTTATTACATTACACATATTACATACACATGTTATACATACACATGTTATTACATTACACACATGTTATTACATTACACACATGTTATTACATTACACATGTTATTACATTACACACATGTTATTACATTACACATGTTATCACATTACACACATGTTATTACATTACACATGTTATTACATTACACACATGTTATTACATTACACACATGTTATTACATTACACATGTTATTACATTACACACATGTTATTACATTCACATGTTATTACACACATGTTATTACATTACACACATGTTATTACATTCACACATGTTATTACATTACACATGTTATACATTACACATGTTATTACATTACACACATGTTATTACATTACACAGTGTTATTACATTACACACATGTTATTACATTACACACACAACTGTATTACATTACACATGTTATTACATTACACACATGTTATTACATTACACACATGTTATTACATTACACATGTTATTACATTACACACATGTTATTACATTACACATGTTATTACATTACACATGTTATTACATTACACAATGTTATTACATTACACACATGTTATTACATTACACACATGTTATTACATTACACACATGTTATTACATTACACACATGTTATTACATTACACATGTTATTACATTACACATGTTATTACATTACACATGTTATTACATTACACATGTATTACATACACAGTTATTACATTACACATGTTATTACATTACACACATGTTATTACATTACACATGTTATTACATTACACATGTTATTACATTACACATGTTATTACATTACACATGTTATTACATTACACATGTTATTACATTACACATGTTATTACATTACACACATGTTATTACATTACACACATGTTATTACATTACACATGTTATTACATTACACATGTTATTACATTACACACATGTTATTACATTACACACATGTTATTACATTACACATGTTATTACATTACACATGTTATTACATTACACACATGTTATTACATTACACATGTTATTACATTACACACATGTTATTACATTACACATGTTATTACATTACACACATGTTATTACATTACACATGTTATTACATTACACACATGTTATTACATTACACACATGTTATTACATTACACACATGTTATTACATTACACACAGTTATTACATTAACACATGTTATTACATTACACACATGTTATTACATTACACACATGTTATTACATTACACATGTTATTACATTACACATGTTATTACATTACACATGTTATTACATTACACATGTTATTACATTACACACATGTTATTACATTACACACATGTTATTACATTACACATGTTATTACATTACACATGTTATTACATTACACATGTTATTACATTCACAACATGTTATTACATTACACAGTTATTACATTACACATGTTATTACATTACACACATGTTATTACATTACACACATGTTATTACATTACACATGTATTTAATTATTATACATTACACATGTTATTACATTACACACATGTTATTACATTACACATGTTATTACATTACACATGTTATTACATTACACACATGTTATTACATTACACATGTTATTACATTACACACATGTTATTACATTACACATGTTATTACATTACACATGTTATTACATTACACATGTTATTACATTACACATGTTATTACATTACACATGTTATTACATTACACATGTTATTACATTACACATGTTATTACATTACACATGTTATTACATTACACATGTTATTACATTACACATGTTATTACATTACACATGTTATTACATTACACATGTTATTACATTACACATGTTATTACATTACACATGTTATCACATTACACACATGTTAATACATTACACATGTTATTACATTACACAAATGTTATACATTACACACATGTTATTACATTACACATGTTATTACATCACACACATGTTATTACATTACACATGTTATTACATTACACACATGTTATTACATTACACACATGTTAATACATTACACACATGTTATTACATTACACAAATGTTATTACATTACACATGTTATAACATTGCACATGTTATAACATTGCACACTTGTTATTACATTACACACATGTTAATACATTACACATGTTATTACATTACAACTGTTATTACATTACACACATTACACACATGTTATTACATTACACACATGTTATTACATTACACACATGTTATTACATTACACATGTTATTACATTACACACATGTTATTATACATTACACATGTTATTACATTACACATGTTATTACATTACACATGTTATTACATTACACACAGTTATTACATTACACATGTTATTACATTACACATGTTATTACATTACACATGTTATTACATTTACAGTTATTACATTACACACATGTTATTACATTACACACATGTTAATACATTACACATGTTATTACATTACACACATGTTAATACATTACACATGTTATT